TTCCTATTTTCAGGTGATTATACACTAATGAAAACATACCTATGAATATTATATTCCATTTCTGACAGTAGATCCTCCTAAATGTTACACACTGGACCTTTAAAAGAAATGAAAGTATGCAAAAAGATTGAGTTTTAAATCTAATTGAATGCCCTCATGTGACTTGAAGAATGTAATCCAGATTTTATTAACTCAGCTACTTCTAACCTAAATACACACTACTGTTCAAAAGTTTGGAATCCAATATATTGATTTTTCTTTTCTTTTCCTTCAGTACTGGCTATTGTAATGAAGTTTTTGTTGTTAAGCTTACAGTTTCTTTTACCAGTTGATGTTTTAAATTCTTATTTAACTTGCTCAGAGGTATCTGTGTGTCTTTCTGTTCTTTTAGTTGTCAGTCTGCTTAAACCGTTGTACAGTGTTCTCTTCTCCATGTACAGACCATTACTGTTTTTGCAAACCTTTCATACAAAATAACACGTATTTATAGGAGATTTTTGTACATCTCAAAAAACGACAAAAATATGGAGTAGTTCTCTCGGCCGGCTGACTGTACCGAATCAAGCTTTTGTGCCAGGTGATTCCAAACCTTTGAGCAGTAGTCTATATGTTTAACCATGAAGGATACGAAGTATTGTTTTCCCTTTTATGTTCGGAGACATGTCTGCTTTATGTTTTACAATCTTACCTCTCATCTGACACTTGTTGCCTTTTAGACTGATGTTCGCATTTAAAAAGTGGTGATAAAATGTCATTTGTACTGAATCATAACGTGGTGATGGACCTCGTGGCCTTCGCTTTGATTTGCTTTTTTTTCTCTCAATGGACAACATACCTGTTAACCAATCAGCAGTCAGCTTTTGAGACTCAACAAAAAATATTTAGTAGATCTGCCGCATAAAGTGCTTCAGAAAGATTTTTTTAGCACTGGTCACTAATGCTTTGCTTAGCAGTTAAAATGAAGACTTCCTGTTGTTCTGAAAATGGGTTCATTTGCCAAGATTTGCCAACACGTGTTCAGAAGGGACACCTGTTGGTCAAAAGACATCACAGCAGCCAAGTATATGTAGATAAAGAAAATATTGTTGAACCAATTATGTCCTGTAAACAGCTGATGTGAAAATAAATAAATAAATCAGTCATTAAAGATTTTGCATCTCTGGCCTTTAAGTTGTGCACTTCTTTTATCAGAGCTTTGACTACAAATGCATTTATCAGAATACCACAAGCGGCGGACAGTGGAGAGAAACATGAGGGACGAGGGTTCAAAACTAACCCCGATGAATTACTGTTATTCTCTTGTCATGTGCTATAAACAGAGGCTTCAAACATCATGTCATGGTTAATGGAATGCCGCAGAGAAAAAAAGCCCCAGATTGTGTAAAGAATAGGACGGCAGTACAGTAAAGAGAGGCCCATACAGTGTCTATGTAGTTAAATTATTGTTTGCTGTTCAACAGCAAACTGCTGATGTTGAATGTGATGAGAACTGAAAACCACGTACTTTGCTTCATAACCTACATGTAGTCCCTCAGGCTAATGTGTTTATAAATGTACGCACACTTAAATCAAACTCCTATATTTCATGATTTCTCAGAGGTTTCTTTTCAGGACTTCCTGTGACAACAGTATTTTTTTATATCACAACGCTTCTAATTGTGGGGTTTTTCCCTCGAGCAAAGTCATCTGGATTGTGGATTTATAGGAACTGTGTATAAAAAGAGCTCAGTTGACTTTGACTCCACTGAGTTTCTAAGAGAATTACTGTGTTTTGTTATTCAGTGACATGGTATTCATAATTCTTTGCAGAATTCTGTTTTTCATGCAAAAGTAGCTTTAAATATGATACAGTGTTATATGTGCAACACCACCTAGAGCAGCAACATTTTCATACTGAGTATTCTGTTTTTTTAATACTTCTGAGGACATTGCTGCTAATAGCTAATCTTTATATTTACTTACTAAATATAGTAAGGAACAACTTACTTAATTAAACTAAACAACACACATATTTTAAAATGTTCACTTATTGTGTAGCAGTGCAAGTGAGCTAATTATATTTTATACAACTGAAAAAACAAAATATTTTAAACCATAACAGGAACCTTATTGTGGAGAAATATCAGTGTTTGTGCTGTTAATAACATCATTAAAACACCACAGAAATTAATTCTGTGATGCCTCTGAAATTGTTTTACACAGAGCAACTAAAGGAAAGAGTAGGGTAGAAGTAACAAAAGCACTTTGGAGAATATTCTGCTTTACTCAAACTCTGTAATGTCTCAGCTCCGTGGACAACTGAGCAAAGAATTAGTCAAAATGTACTTCAGAAGGTCTGGTACCTGGTATAAACTGTAATAGGATTTTAGCTGAAACCACACAAAGAAGAAAAAGCATTTAGACTTTCTGTAGTCTCAGCGGTGGGATGAATACTTCCCTACAAAGATTTCAGAGTTGCGCAATGTGCACAGATACTGTGGGAAATGTTCCAGAAACAAATGCAGAATGGACCTCAGCCAGTCAAAAATAGGAAGTGAGGAGAAAAGAACTTAAAGGCTGCACAGTTTCTATCAACACAGTGAAGTACAAAAAAGAAAAACACAGTTTAGAAATATCAGGCACCACATCGTATTCTAGTATTCTATATAAACCTTTTTTAGTTTCAATGGTAAAGCTTCATTCAACGCTTCTGAAGTTTTTCAGTGATTTAATTTGCAGCTTTTGCATTGATTGTCTCATTTGCACAAAAAAAAACATACACATATATGCAATACTGATGTACTACTACTCGACATCATTTCAGCGAAAATAAAGATAATTTTTGATTTACATCATGAGATATATACATTATTAGACACCTCACTCGTGTTTCATTCAGATGCAAGCACATTTGAAATGCCTGAAATCACACACATTTGCAATCTCTATCTCTCACTATAGCTTATATGTTTTTCTAAAATCTTCATACAGTTGGCAGTGTAGGCTGACTGCTACATATAGTCATTGTCTAATTTTACAGGAAATCAGAAGAGTAAGTTGTGCCAAAAAAAGGAAAAACACTTTCACATTGTCAAACATGAACCATTGTTCATCTGATCCATAACGGATCCACAGATTTCCCTGCTCAGTTCAGTTGTATTCCCCTGCTCCTAAATCACACTGAACACTGGTTAAGTAATTAGATTGAAGTGGAACAATCACATGTTGTCATCAACTGACAGCTACTGTAAGTGTGTCACAAGAAATACAGCTATGACCAAAGCACAGAGAAGGAAAACAAAGTGGGTGTTCTTTGCCTTCTCCACGGTCAATTGAGCATGTTTAAACCAGGGAAAAACACTTGCACTGTTTAAGTGTTCAATTAAGGTGATCAGAGAATGAAACCTAATTTGTCATGTCCGCACATAAAGAAGTGGAGCTCGTATAGTTTTGGATTTTGTGCTTCACTTTACATGCAACAAAAATGATGATAAGGAAGTGAACCTGCTGACAAAAGTGGCTGAAGTCGCCACAAAAACAAAGCATTCACTCTCCTGGGGCAGTGATACAAAATACTAACAAACATTGTGCACAATATATAATTAAGGACACTCTCGAGGGAGAGGACAGACCGGTTCTCCATTGGATAGACTGTAATAGATTATACCTCGAATACATAATAGAAGGAGTTATAAACAGTCCGTGAGGGAGTAACATTTAGGATAAGGTACAGATTTGGATGCTTGTGTGGTTTGTTGACATGTTTCCTCCTTTCATGTCTGCAGTTGCCGTCTGTTAGACGTGGCAATTTCTAGTCATGGTCTGCAAAGAAGCAAGTCACATGTTTGCTGCAGCTGCTCGTCTGTCTGGCGAGCAGACACTACAGGCAAAAAATAGCTGTGAAGGCGACTCTCTGCAACTGTCCCGGCGGTTAGAACAAGCTGTGGTACTCTGGCCACGGACTACAGCTAATCCCACTTTCCTAATGCTGGCTGATGAGTGATTGGTTTGCTAATTGATTGGCTTTTAGGGCTTTTCAACAAAACTGGTAGTTGTTGGTCTTCATCAGAGGCTGCTCCTCTTCCTCGTGGTCACAAGACTGGTCACAGGGGCCATCGCAGCACTTGGGCTCATCACACACTTCACCCTCTGTGACCTGCTGCTGCACATTCTGGTAGATTAGCTGTGGAGAGGCATCATTAGGATAGTGAGACTTGATCTAAGAGAGCCTAATATTGGCTTCATCTGAATATTATGGCATGATGAGAGAACAATTTCTTGCAGTCAAACTATATTTTGTATCTAAAACGTATAATGCTGTTATATATATATATAGACATATATTGTGAGTTTCTCCTTTGGAAACAGCACGCAAATAAGATTCTAACACAAAATCATTTAATTGGTTTGACAGCACAGCTAAATCTGTTGTGTCTTTGGGAGACTTAAATGAAATAAAGGAAGTTTTCTGAGGACATCTTGGTTAGAGTGTCACATGCTTTGTTCCATGCATAGTTTTAATTTTGGCAAAGCCAGACTGGAGTCCCTACACCCTGCTTCACATTAACTCACCTGTTCCTGCCCGGGTTGGTCCCCAAGTAGTCTTTCTATCAAATGTGTAATCTTGTTAAATGTTGGACGCTCTGTAGGCTCCAGATTCCAGCACATCTTCATAATCATGTAGCTGAAACAAAAGTGAACCATACATCAAAACATTTTAAAACTTTTAATGGATTAATTACGCTGGAAAAAAATGAACTGATGGTAAACATTTCAGGGGCTTATATCCTGTGCACTCGATTTTCACTGCTCAAACTCTGTGGTGTAAAATTGAGGAACTGTATGAAGCCAAATTAGAAAAAATAAGGAGAGGCTTATGGAGGTGGTGACGCAGTTTGATAAGAGAGACTCGTTC